CTTGTACATGTCCTTTCTCACAGATGTGTCTATGTCTGAATTCTTGTACATGTCCTTTCTCACAGATGTGTTTATGTCTGAATTCTTGTACATGTCCTTTCTCACAGATGTGTTTATATCTGAATTCTTGTACATGTCCTTTCTCACAGATGTGTTTATATCTGAATTCTTGTACATGTCCTTTCTCACAGATGTGTTTATATCTGAATTCTTGTACATGTCCTTTCTTACAGATGTGTGTCTGTATCTAAATTCCTGTACATGGCCTTTCTTACAGATGTGTGTCTATCTGAATTCCTAGATGTGGTCTTTCTTACAGATGTGTATCTGAATTCCTGTACCTGGCCTTGATCACAAGTATATTTGTCTGAATTAGTGTACGTGGCCTTTCTCAGAGATGAGTTGATATTTGAAGACATTTTGGAAGATACACTTAACTGCAAAAACTTTCAACTGATCTACTACTTGTAGTCATTCATGACTGTTAAATCACAGCCATACAATCTACCTAATTTCTCACAACTTCTTGCAACTACAACAGCTCTTTAAGCCAACAGCTAATGTTTGTGTTTTCCCAAAGTAAGGTATACTATATATTATTTGTCTTATTATTACTTTCACAGACAGTATTAGTTAGAATGTTTAATATGTAATTTTATTAATTCTAATTTTTATTATTATACTTTTATTATACACATGTTAGCTTAAAATATTTATAACTAACCTAAATTTCCTAAGCTGGCTTAATCTCACGAGTAATTATTGAGCTTATATCCAAAAGTAGTAAACAGTGAGGATAACTAACTGATAAACAAATAAATTTAATCTTTATAAGCTACATTACTCTGTGAACATATTAACTGTTAAAAAAAATACCCAGAAATTCAACACAGAGCATTCGAACAAAACCACACATAACAATGCTTGTGAGAAGAAGCTGATTCACACACATAACAATCCTTGTGAGAAGAAGCTGATTCAAGTTCAAACTATACTATCTATTTGATTTCTACTTCTTTTTGTGCTGTCTTCCTTATGATACATTTCAAATGGATGTCTGATTTACAAACTAATGTCCTGAGCTGTTCTAAAAGGTTGCTGTAATTTGCTCTCATCTTTCACTCTTCTAAATAACTATCTCTCTCTGAACACGAAACAACAGCAAGGGTTGAGTTGATCATGACCACAGCTACTGAAGACAGTTTTGGAGTTTGTTAGCGTCATTATCACTTCTGTCATAATAATGGATTTCTGACACATCAAAATTCATTGGAAATTTATATTATTTGCTTAAACAACCTGGTAATGATACTTATTACTCCTTGGTGCATGGCAAGTGTTCGAGTTTGATAGCTTTAAGTTTTAATACTTAATGCATACATACACATATTAATAAATAAGCACATTCAAATATGTGATATTTAAAAAAAAATTTATCTCAGGATGTAACTTACAACCATCTGTAACATCCAGAGTTAGACCCGAGTTAAAGATAATATAGACTCACTGTTCCTAGTCAGACCCGAGTTACAGTTAATACAGACTCGCTTTTCCAAGTTAGACCTGAGATACAGTTAATATACTCATTTTTCCAAGTTAGATATAGGTTACAGTTTATACAGATTCATATTTCCAAGTTTGACCTGGGTTACAGTTAATAAGGACTCATTGTTCCAAGTTAGATCAGAGTTACTGATGGATATACAAGACTGTTAAGTTTAAGTGTTATTATTTAGTTTATCTTGATGACTTTATATTTAATGATTGTTTAGTTTTTAAACAGAAGTGTTGAAGATGGATTGTTTTAAAAGTGTTAGTTGTGAAAAATTTTATTATGTAACTCTGTAGGAATTGTACATTGTGTTTGCAATTACATTGTTGTCTACCAATATTGTTGACGTCACATTACTCGATTCTTCAGTGTTTTTCTCATTACCTTAACTAAGTACCATTACGTTATAGCGGTGCTCACGTAGTTTATAAAAAGTTTGAGACTTCAATGAACAATGTATAAATACAGGCGACCAAGCAAGCACAAGTCAAGTAGAGAAAAGTCAAATGAGAGATAATTAAAAAGATCTAGACCTAGTGATTGACAGTTTAGCCATGATGGGCAATTTATAAAAAAGTTAGAAGTTTAGTCAGAAAACATTAAGTAAAGTAAAGTCAAGTAAAATTCAGTCAGAAAAAAAAGTTGGAAAATGTGAAGTTAGCTGGCATGTGAGTGACTAGCTGTAACAGGTAATATTTTAAAGGGAGTTTCACAGTTTAATAGGGATAAGAATAATTTGTCTTGTCAAATGGTGTTCTAAAGGAATTGAACCCATCCGTGTGGACTTTGATGAAAGAAGACAATAATTTAACATTCCAAATACAACTGTGGTAACCTACGAGGTAACATAAGTGAACTTATCACAGATTGTATAGTAAGAAACAGAATAGAGAAAAAGAAATCATTTTGTCAATTGGATTCTAAAGTAATTGAATCAGTCTGTGTGGATTTTTGACAAGAAAATATAATTATTTAGAGTTTTAGATAAAATTGTGATATCAAATAGTGTAAAGAGTTATTATACATACATTTGACTTGTTTTGAATATGTTATTTTAAAACAAGTGGATTGTGTGCTGTCCCTTTATTGTTCAAATTTATCACCAACAAGTCACAGACACAGAATCCCAGCCCAGCCTTACACACTTAAAACCCTGACATTTACAGTTAATATAGACTTACAGTTCCAAGTTTGACCTGGGTTACACTTAATATAGACTCAAGTTATTTTAGTGTTTTCACACAATAATACATGTATATAGCATGAAATATGGTTTATCTGCTAACAGTTGTTGTCATAGATATATAGTTACTAACTTGTAGGTTTACTTTAATAAAATTAGATGCATTATTTGGTTGACTAGAAATACAGTAAAATCTCTGATACATGTATAAGAGATATTTGAATACATCTAAGTTTAAGTTACACTTTAATGATGATTGGTTCTGCTTAAGCATTCTAGTAACTAAAAAAAAAATTATTCTGCTATTCTCTACTTCCAATTACAAATAAAATAACTGTAATGTTTACATTTGAAATCATAAACCAATTTGCAAAAATAATGTTGTTCATTTTCTTAAGAATGTAAAATTGAAGAATGTTGGCTACTAGCTCTATAGATTTAAACATTACTATTAAAAGTTTTGACTAATCTTCATATAAACTGTGAAAAAAGGTATGGTTTACACTTGTATATCATTTATAATATAAAATACTCGTATTTAGTTATTAAAGCAACTCGTATCTGAAAAATTAGTTTATTACTTTGCTGTAATACAAAACAACCTTTAAAACTTCACATGCTCCAGATAAGACAGAAAAACTGGCTTAAAAGAAACATTTTTAGTAATTAATTAGCTAACTAAGTGGATAAATATATTATAGAAGATGTTACTAAAAATCCTTCAACTCTAGAAACCTGAATTTTCACTTCTGTATCACTAAAAGAATGACACAAACTCTGTTTAAACTAATGAAAAAATGTTTACATAGGATTTAACTGAGTTGATTGGTTATTAAGTATTATGTCTTCTAAACAAAAATGTAGATTTATAGCTTACATATCTCCATGAGCCTTAACTAAGATGTTTTCTAGATTTTCTGGAGTAGAAAAGATAAAAATAACCTGAGGTTAACTTAAAACTATCAAGTAATATTTTTAAACATCTTTCTCATTACATCTGGCATTTAGTAAAGAAATTAAATTTTCCAATATAAAGAACTACAAATCAAGATTTTTTACAAATTAAATGAAAATTATTCAAATGCTGAAGATAACAATTTATTAAAAAATTATAAAAAATATAATACTGTAATAATGAAAACTATTAATATAGTCCAAACAAACTGCAGCCTTGATCTATTCCATAAAATTTTGTATTGTAACCATTTTTATATCTTCATATTACATATCTTGGGTTTACTTCTTAATAGCAAAGCTACATAATAGGTTATCTGTATTGTGTCCTTCAAGCTTACTGTTAAGCCACTGGGGGGCCACAATATGTCTATAATACAGTGAGATTCAGGAGCATTTAGTTGCCAGTTAACATATTGGACTAAAAACAAAAACACTAAGAAAATTAGGTTTTATAATGTACAAAACGTAATAGAATATAAAAAAAGGAAGAAAAAGAACTAAAAATGCCCATATAAAAAAAAACTTACCCTATTTTAATAGTAGGGATTTTCAACATATAGTTTAAATGAAATAACTAATACAGTATTTCACCATATGACTCCGAATACACTCCATAACTATTTATACAGCACTTACAATAACATTTCTCATGTCCAATTCACCTAATAACTAGTTGTGTACATTATTCTTAATTTTGACAAACCAACTCTTGTATTGAGTACAATATGAAAAGCTATTGGAGTGTCGTATTGATCAAGAGTGACACTAGATTTATAGCTGGTTAAAGTAAGGCATACAGTGCCAACACAATCAGTTTAACAAGCATCATCAAAATACTTTATAATCTTCCATATGGAAATCAATCATTTTTTACATATAGTAACTACAGTAAATAAATGAACTTTGGGACAGGAAGCTAGTGGTAATAAGCTCCACGTGACTGTTTAACTAAAGCATAAAGAACCTTTTCACTTAAAATCATTCTGACATATCTACAGTACATGTTCAGACTTTAGTTTTGATACTGAATATTGTGAGTTTCTCAAAATATTACATGATAAAGCAGAATTGTGAATTAAAGACTTATATGAAATAACTAAAGCTTAAGACTAAACAAAAGGTTTGAAAATATCTTTTAGATTTTGACGGTCAGTTTGATGTGTACTTTCTTTTTGGTTATATTCAGAGATTTTTTTGTAAAAGCCAGTGTAAGTTTTTAAACAATAGTGAACCTTCTTTTTTTTTCAGATGTAAGCTATTACTATCTCTATAATTTCAATAAGAACATATTCTAATATTGTAAACACTGTTCAAAATTGAAAACCTTACATGACACAAGAAAATGTGGAGAAATAAAAATCTTATTCTTGCACTCTTTATAATTTTATCATTACTATCTATGTAAACTTTCAGCTGTATGCTGAAATGTTCTTCAGCCTCAATTGAATAGAAATTTTGAATATAAATGCCTATTTTGAGGTCCTGTTTAATTTATTATCAGTGTTAAATAACATCAATCTTATAAATGCTTCACATTCTTTACACTAACAGTCATTTACATTCAAGAGATCCTGAAAAAGGCTGTAGACTATACATTCAAAGCTTGTTTACATAATAAAAAAAAAGGCAAGTATATTTTTCACAAGTTTTTTCTCTCCCTAGTGAACAATTTGGTTGAACTTAATTTAACTATTTTTCATGTATTATATAATGTGGGGCTAAATTTTCTACATAAATACACATTATACCAAATAGTAAAAGACATGTTAGTTTTCAGTAGATGAAGACAAATTTAAGTTAAACACATGTCACGTAGCAAAATGGATTTTTTCCTAACTTTCATTTATAGAATTGTGAGGATATTGTATTACTGGATATAATGTATTCAAAAAATATTAATTACCACAAAATTCTTACCCCATGTATATTTTTTCAAACATTTTATTTGTAACTCCCTTTTGATGACAGATATAGGAAACGAATGTACCACAAAAACCAGGACATCTTCCCAAAAAAGTTGTTTTTGTAGACACACATTTAGAAATAAAAAAATATAAATTGTAAGAGCTTCATGAAAACTTGTGAATGCTGAAGACAAAAAATGTAAAAGCATACTGAAATTTTAAATTGTATTTTACCATAAAAATTATTATTTAGAGAGAAGATCTGATACTTATGACATATTAATCTACTGCACCTGTCATCAAATGGGAATTGTAAATAAAAACTTTTGAAAGCATTTAAATATAAGTAAAGTATTTTGGTGGATTTACTTTGCAAAATCCTTTAATAAAGGAAGATAAAACAAATGTTAGATGAATGTCAAGTTTATGTTTAGTAATTCAACTTTTAATATTTGATATTTATAGCACTAAAACCATATGCTGTCTTTGAAATACCTATAGATATGTCAACATGGTTCACTTCAACTGCTAAAGAAAATACTAAGTATCAAACATTGGCAAAGTTATGTTAAGCATTCAAAACTGCAAATAATGAATATATTGCACAAATTAAAACACAAATTTTTACATAAAGTTTCTGATGTAGTTGAGTAGATTATACCGAGATGTTTACCTTGGGCCGAATTTTGTTAAACACAACCTGCTCTTGAGAGTAGGATGGAGGCAAAAGCACACTATTGATAGAGTGTACAACTCCATTACTTACTGCTGCATCAGGCAAACCAATCATGGCATCATTGACCTTGACTCCTTGAGCTGCCAGCAAAAAATAATCCAAGTATTACATTTAGGTACCAATTAAAGAGTTTACATTAGCATTTGTACTTTGATGTTCACTAAATTTCAATTACTTAGCAAATAAAAAATCTTCCACATAACTGATAAAAAATATATTTTATATATTTTAAAATGGGAAGGGACTTATTTATATTCATAATACAATAACTAATTTTACCAGATTTCATTGTTAATTCAATAACAGAAGAACCATCATTTCCTTCAAATAACAATTCAGCAAATTGTACACTACTGAGGTGATGTAAATGACTGCGAATATTCAAATTTTGGAATGGTAAGTACATATAAAGAGGAATAGGATAAGAATAGTTCCAACTGATTTATGACCAAATTTAAATCTAACAATTAAAAGAATTTAATGAATTTGTTATATTTTATCTTTCCTTGTACTTTTAATAAAAAAAACTGTCAGTTTCTACTCAGAAAAAATGTTAAAAAAACATTCTCAAACATATTATCACAACATATGGTGGCATTTATTGTAGAGGTGGGCAACTAGTGGTATTTGTTTGAATGATGGACCCATTAATTGATAACATTCAATCAGTCAATTAGAACATGGCCCTACAACACCCCAAAGGAAAAAAAATTAGTGTGAGTTGCCTTTATAACTTTTTCAACTATTGCATTATTCTAATATTGTATTAATCTTCTTATTTTCAGTAAGAAATTTTTTTTGTTTGTTTTTAAAAGTAATTTTCAAATTACCCAAAATTTGCCATTTATGCATTTTGCAGAAAACATTTTTTTTCTAAAAATGTTTTGCTATAGGTTTTAAAAGATAATATGGACATTTCCTACTTGATAAATGAATTGCTAATGTTTACTAAATACTAGCATGCAGCCGCCATTATGTTTGTTTTTAAAATATGTAGTAATCCCACACTGATCTTGTTTAAATCTAATAAATTGTTAATTAAGTAATGAAAACATGTTTTACTCTCACTTACAAACATATCATGATTGTAATTAGAAATAATTAAGCAGCCAATTTGTTTACGTATGTTGTTTGAATAGGATAAACATAAGAATAATATTCAATAAAAATCTGAGTCATCAGAATATTTTGTAGTTGCCTACCAAATTATGTGGTTTGATAACAATTATACTTAGTAATAAAACAATTCACATTTACAAACATTGCAACTAAACACATATCAATAACATAGATATATTTAAAAAATCTTCAGTCATGTGACTTTTGATTGACACAGGTATTTAAAAACACAATGAAATTACTTTTAAGAGCACTTATTTAAAAAATTTAATTTTCATAACATTTCAATTTTTATCTAAACCTATTTCAAAACATAATGAAATTACTTTTAAGAATATTTACTTAAAAAATTCAATTTTCATATTTTAATTTTTATCTAATCCTTTGATTTTCAAAACAAAAATTACACAATCTAAGTTAAAGCTTCTTGATATACCACATTGACTGTTGTTCCTTCTTCTGACAGTATAAATAGGTTTTGATGAGATCCAACCCTTGAATATTCTACAAAGGATTGATCATGTGAAAAGCAAGGCTACTTTAGGAACAATCCAGCAACTTTTAAACTTTGACCTTGTGCCTTAGTAACTCTCTCAACACGGCTCGGTTAATTTAACTGACCACATGACCTCTTTGTACTTGTTTAGTCTTTATAGATTTAATACTTCTAACTTCCATATAGTGTGTGTGTGTGTGTATCTTCACCAAATTTGGAATTCTTTCAGTTAAAGTTAAGTCTTTCACACATAAAAAATCATTTTTTAGTGAAGTATTTTTAATAAACTAAAACTAAAGATTTATCCATGAATACATTGGGTATTTGTTTTGAATAGTCTGTGTGCAAAGTGATTTTCATGTTAAGATTAAAAATACTTTTCTTCATCTCAAAAATATCAAATTTCCTTTGTATAATCTGTAAAACCTCCTAAATACATTTCAAACACTTGTTTTCAATAACAAATTGTTAGCAACAAATCAACTTACACCCAAGGACAAGCGAGTTTGTTGATAACAAGTTGTACCTAAGGACAAGTAAACTTGTTAATAACAAATCAACTTATAGTCAAGGAACAGTCAACTTCTTGATAATACATGAACTTATACCTAAGGATATGCAAACTTGTTAATAACAAACCAATATATATCCAAAGACAAGTGAACCTGTTAGCAACAAATCAACTTATAGCCAAGGACAAGTAAACTTGTTAATAATAAATCAACTTATACCAAAGGATAAGCAAACTTGTTAATAACAAACCAATATATATCCAAAGACAAGTGAACCTGTTAGTAACAAATCAACTTATAGCCAAGGAGTGGTAAACTTATTAATAACAAATCAAATTACACTCAAGGATGAGTGAGCTTGTTAATAACTCAACTTGTACCAAGGAGAAATAATAGCCATAAGAACTACCTCTTTAAGGTGAAGACAAATTATTTAGCTTAACAGTTTACATTTTAAAACATGTGTATTTTGTTTTAGATATACCTTGCGTAAGGGAGTAGTTATCTTTTCTTCACTTATTCTGCACATTGTTCTATAATGTAAGAATACAACTTCTGGTTTCATTTTAACAGTAGATTGCAAAATGTGAAGCGTGGCAGTATCATTCAAACATTCACAATCTTATGTATATAAAACCAGCAATGAACCAATTTAAAATAAGAACATTCTTAATCCTCACCATTTCTTCATTTGACAACTCACAATTCTGTAAGATTTAATTCCAATAAGGAGACCTGTGTTATACTGATGATACAGGTACAATATAATCACATACGTACAAATATTTATGTTTCAAATATATATGGTCATTTTCAAAAACTTTTACACAATTACCTGATTCAGTAACTTTAAGTTTAGTTCCCTGAGAAGTTTTTAGTAGTTGCCCATCTTCTAGTCCAGCTATATACCAAACCTCAGGAACAACATGATACAGCAAGACATCTAACACAAAAGCAAAACCATTTAAATTCAATATATCATTAATACAAGACAAATACTTTAAATTTAAGATTCTTTCAGATATTTTAATTCTAACAACACTTTAGACAACTTATTAAAGTAGATGATAAACAGTGATGCAAGGAACAAGTAATGAGCTATTCCAAAGTACAAATATTTTTTTTATCAGTTTATTTCTGAATGTATCAGTCCAATTTCTTGTAAATACAGTACATTACGAAGAGTTATTAAAAGTAAGTAAACTATATAGACCTAAATTAAAAAATAACATTACTGAAACTACATCTACAAAACAAATTAACTAGTACAGCTGCTATACTTAATGTCACACATCAATACGATGAAAAGTAAAATCTATAATGAATCATCTTGAATTATCAACTGAGTAACTTCACTATTAATAATGTTTCTGGCCATAATCCCAATAATATCTCACAAGGTTTGACCAATTTAGCAAAGTTACTGTTACGGCCATATTACTAATAATAGGTTATGTACTTGCATTAGTACATATGAACCTCAAAAATTGAACAAAGTGACAAAAAAAAAAAAAGACAGTCATAAACAAATAAGCAATATCTGACTAAATAGAGAATTATACCAATGTTCTGTCATTGATTTCCTAGTAATGCATGATACCAGTATAAGAAAATCTCTATATAATCCTGCAAAACAATAACAAATAACCAAAGGAAAACTGATTATTTGACCTCAATTGTGTAACTTTAATTAGTTTGTGATAAAAATTAAATGACTTACAACAAGCTTTTATTTAGCTGGTCAGTAGCAGGACAATAAAAAAACTAAAATGTTGAAGTGATGCTGTACTATATAATGAGATTTTATATCAATTACAATATACTAAAACTGTTCACTGTTCCATATTAAATTAAAAACTGAAAGTGTAGTCATGATAACTTTGTAAAAGTCACAGTATTCTGTAAAATGTTTAATCTAACAAGAAACACTGAACTGATAAATTTCAACTACAATACTATCTAGTAGAATGAAGTAATTAAAAAAAAAAGCTGTCTTGTTGTGAAATGTTTGTCTACCATGTAATTCATATAAGTTGTATACAAAATTCTTTAATCCTGCAAACCTCACATACTCTTTTTAAATATAACTAGAATGCTACAAATCCCTAGTGTATTGTTCCCTAGGATTTGAAAAATAAAGAAAACAAAATCGGCTAAAATTCAGGGATTTTTAATGCAGAAACAAAGTTATTACAGGGAAATAAATAAAGTTGTTATAATGTTAATTTAACAGTTCTGTTTTCTACTACAAAGTTTCCTACAACTCATGTCTATAATGATGTGCATTTTTAATAATCTTTCATTATATATATATATATCATTTACAGATTTCAGAGAACTAAAAGACAGGAAGTTAATTAAACCAAAAATAGTTGGGTCAAACCACATTTATTTTGTAACAGCACATTTCAGAAACAATAAATAGAGAAAGAGTAACTGTATAAATTACTTTTTCAAAGAACTAATTTCCTGGTACCTTTTCTATTTCTGTTAGATTCGATCACTTCAGAATTTCGTTATTTTTGAATGATTACCTTCAAGCTGTATTATTAACCTTTTATAAGTTTCCTTACAATCTTGTTATTTATTGTTTGTTTGAAACTTGTTTTTATAAACAATCTAGTCTAAGTGTTTTTAACTACATCCTTAGGTGTTCTACACCCCAACTTGTTGGCTAATAAACAATTGATATATATAAAAAATATTTCAACTAGACTTTTGCATGTTGCAACCCACCTAGATTGATGAGCTCTGGTATTGATCAAAGGGCCTCTTTGGCAGTCACATAGAGCACCTAAGATAAAGCTGAAACCCTCTTATACACTGTATATTTTTCTTACTGCAAACCCTTATGAGATCAGCAAAGGGTGATGCAATTTAAATTATTACATATCAGTCTTACTAAAGTAATATTTGTTGTTAACACTAATCATGATGAATTTGGAGTATATTCAAATTTAAAATTACAAACTTAACAGCACTTAGATTTGTGTTGCTTAAATTATCCATTAAATGTTTGAATTTTTTATATATATATATATATATATATATATATATCTATCTATCTATCAAACTTAAGTTGGATATAAAATATTTCACTTTTTTCTAATCATTTGTATAATAATATATATACTAGCAGAGACCCACAAAATATTTTTGGTCAAGCTAGCATCTTTATTGCAACAGTACTTCTTTAAATACAAGATATCTAGAATAATACAAAAGAATTCTAATAACAGATACCAAAATCTATAAGTACACTTCTCTTAGGCCTAACAGAAGTTATTAACTTTATCCTATATTTAATAAAGAGATAAACTAACACTGTGACTTGTGTACATTTTTCCTTAGTTTAGTTAGGACTAAACTTTACTGCATTTAATACTATCAATAAGTAAACTTATATTGTTATTCTATGACTTAACGTTAGACCTTTTTAAAAATTTTGATAAGCTTTAACATGTTGTACAAAATGTCTACTAAAGTATATTTAAATCTGTCTTCTGTTTACATCAGTTAAAATTAAGTGTTGGGGCATGCATATTTAGATAGTAGGGTGAGTATGCATTTTCAGACAAAAACTGAGTATTATTATAGTAGATATTGACCTAAAAACTGTAAATTTTTTGTATACTATGTGTAATGCTCTACATAATCATGAGGAATTTAATCATATACACATCATGTAAAAGTTACATTTCTGCTGTTTATGAATGTATACCAACTGTCAGAATTCTTTCAACGAAGTGGATGAAAGAAGAAACTCAAAGTAAACAGAAGATTTCTCAAATGGTTACAATACACAAAGAATCAGTTTGAAATTTCTGGACTAATCTATCTGCTTTGAAGATTTTATACAAACACACATTTTTTGCATAAATCTAATATATAACAGATAGCATAAAAGTTCAAAGGCATGGTAATGTACTGAAAAGGTTGGTTGGGATGCCATGAGGTACTTCAGCAAAACTTTAAACTAGCCTGAAAATGAACTTCCTGTCAAGCTAATATTTTATTCATACTTAGTGCTACAAATTGTAAATAAAGAATAACTTCATATGAATGATCTTTGAAAGAAGAAGTTTACCTCTAAGTGCTGTGGCATTTTTCAAGAGAAAGTTTAAAGTTTCAGGAGGCAGCTTATTAAAGGCTTCATCGGTAGGGGCAAAGACTGTGAATGGTCCAAAATCTGAAGAAATAGACATCTAGAAATTTAAGTAAATGTTATAAGGATATACATTTAAATGTACATAAAAACAATTATAAACTTATGGCTAAAGCAACATATAAAATTCATATCCATTAACCCAGTACAAAGGAAGGCAAAGTTAGAAAATATTAAATCTTATTTATTTCATACACACACACACACACACACACACACACTGTCATAACCGATTTGAAGAATAATTCACCAAAAATGAAATGTCCACTTGTTTGTTGAATTTTGCACAAAGCTACTTGAGGACTATCTGCACTAGCTGTCACTAATTTTGAAGTGATAGACTAGAGGGAAGGCAGCTGGTCAACATCATTAACTCTTGGGCTAATTTTTACCAGCAAATACTGTGACTGACCATCACAACAGAACCCCCACAGCTGAAAGGGCAAGTATCTCTACTGACAGGTTCCATCTAATGATTGAAGGTTGCAGATAGAACAATCAAATGACCAGGACATGCTAGACTCCACGAAGAAATGTATCAAAAAATTCTGGGTAAAGTAAACTGAGCTGAATTTCCCATTTTTCTGGACTACATCTGCTTGGAATGTGCAAAAAGATGTTTTCTTCTCTGTGCCAAGGTCACTGTTACTTTACAGACAATTCATAAAAAACTTCAAATCCAGTTAAATGTATTTCTAAACAAAATAGGTTGTAAAACTGTACAAATTCAACAAATTATATGAAATCTACATGTTGAGAATCAAATATTTTCTCTAAATATATTGGTCTAGGAATGACAAGTACACTAAGATGACTGAAAGATTATACGATACCATAGCCTATTTTTAAAGCAAGAATAACAATATCATTTACTTTATTTCATCCAATTTCATACAATAATATCTTAAAGATGTATAACTAGACAAACAATGGAGATATTTTCATGTATAAATCACACCATGGTAAGACTAGTATTCTAGAGCATAGTGTGAATGTTTTACTTCACAACTTATAACAGGTTGCTTTTGCTGAACTGAAAGAATGCACCATATGGTGAAGAACTGATCTGTTTAAGTTACAGAAAAAGCAGCAGTGTTAAATACAATAACTACACTTTATGAACCCCTGTTTATTTTTAAGAAACACTGTATTCAAATATGATAACACTAGACATGCATTAGTAGCAAATATCTGTGTAAAAAGTAACTATGTTAGAGTCACTTTTTAATTACACTAGCAAATAATAAAAATCCCTCTGTGAAATAAACATACTTAATCAATTGGAACTTTAAAATAGTTAGTTATATGTGATATTTAGATAAATTAATTTATCAACTTCTTAAATAACCAATAAAAAAATATTTTCAAGACTGCACATTCCTGGCTAAACAGTTGTGTCACTGAATTTTGAGAATGCTGTTGTGAATCAATTTTTCAATATAAGAATTATTAAGTCTGTCAGTCAGTGAATGCATTAACCTAACAACGTTAAGGGACTTGAACATTTTAAAAAACCTTGTGTGTAACTCATAGACCAATCAATTAGGACTTGGTGATTGTAAGTCAAAGGTTTAAAATATAGTGATTAATAACAATGATTTCCTAACCAAATGAAAAGGAAAATGTATTACAGTGTTCTTCATCTGAATGACATTAACAATTTTAAACATTAAAAATGTATTTCCAATAGATACCAACCTACTCTTACATACTAGCTTTTCCCAGTTTTGTGTTGCTCTCTATATGTGTAATTTTTCATTCACCACTAGCCTTAAGGCTCCACCTAAACTCACATGTTTCTATATGGTATTGCTGCACTATAGCATGCAAATGAACATGCAACAACCCTCCACCAATAGGAATGCAACACACTCTCCAAGCACAGCTAACTCCCTCTATACTGATTGTTCACTCACCACTTCAAGATTAGGCATGAAAAGAAGCACCAGATATGGGACAGACAGGTGGAAAATGTGAGTAGAGATAAGTATTTATTGGAAATACATTTTCATTGTTGGAAAATATTAACTTCCAATACAATATCTTACCTTAAGTGGTGGAAGAACTGGCATAAAAGTTCGGAAAGCATCTGAAGAGAACCATGGAGTGTGACACCCTATACCATGAAAGTATAGGATCCCATCCATGGAAGATCACACACCCCTTCTGTACCATAGTGAAGGTATGTATCACAAACTTGGACAGAAAGTCAAAAAATCCCAACACTGCTTTACTCAGGATAGTCCATGAGTAGGTATGGACTGGATCAGGCCTTGTTCAGCTTATAATATCCCACAAGGAAACATCTAGCAGTATTGTGGAACACCTAATATCATTACGGATCTGAACGGCTGCATAACGTGGATTTAAAAACAAGTATACCCTGGCAGGCACCACATGCCACTCAGTGGTATCCTGAGACATAGAATAGAGCCCTGTAAAGGTAAGAGATAAAGAAGAGTTTACCCAGTCAGAACTGGAAAACATTTTTTAGAATGGCAATGGGAGGAAGTCAATATCCCAAAGAAGAAGAAGAGGGCCAGATGATGATAACGTGCAATGAAAGTATGTGGGTCAGTCCACATGCCAGCCCACATGATCTTCTCCAACAGATAATGGAAGTGGAGTAATGTGTCAGATTTTTTGTGAGGAGACAAAATATTTGATGCAAGTCCCTATCCAAAGAAGTATATGTTGGATGGATGAGCTGCTGTAGCCAATTCATGAGAGTAATGGGAGCAGAAGCCATAAAAAGGGGACAGTGTGGGCAAATAACAGCAAACCACATGGAGACTGCAGATCAACACCAGCAAGAAACAATATCCCTTGGAGGAGGAAAATTAATAGGAATAGGAGGCAGTGGAAGAGGAGAGGAAACAGTGCACCCAACAATCAGCCACAAATGGAGGGCAAAGGTCCATAAACCAAACTAAACAGGCCTTACTGACCCCAAGCCTATAAGAAGTCTATAAGCAGTGAGTGAATGGATGGGAACAGAGGAAAGGGAAGTGGTGACAGGTAGAGAAAAGGAAACATGAGAACAGGAAACAGAGAGATTGCAGTGGTGTTTATTTTTCTTTGGCCTTACCACTTCATATTTGGTTTGTCTGTTGCTAGAGTTTGTTAGGGTGTGATACCCTTGTTACTCAAGTGCTTTTACCTCCCTTTTATCTCGTGCTTTTTTCTGGCTCCTCTCATCTGCCTCTGTGATTTTACTGGAGTGCTTGTTTCTCTGGGGTCATATATTGGGGCTACAGGCCAGGGTTTTTCCATATCATCACTGGTTTACTGTCTCTCCCATGTTCCTTCTTTGCCAGAAGATTAGAGAAGAAGTATCCACCGAAAACCCCTCAGGTGAATGGTTGATTACCACTGAAAGAAAGTGAATGGAAGAAAAATAATGTAATAGGGTAGAGAGTGTAAAACAAAAGTGGGAAAACTTTAGTTAGAGAAAGACAAACAAAAGATATAAGATCTGATCTCCAAGTATGAACAAAAAATTCTAGAGTTTAGGAATCAAAAGAAAGGCAATATAGCATGAAGTCATGCCTAGTTATACAAGGTAAAAAAGGAAGGAGGATCAGGCATGCATGCACCTAAGTAGTGGTAAAAGAAATTGAATGTGGATTTTCATATCTGGATTGGAAGTAAAAAACATAAAAGGAAGAAGCATGGAATGAATTACAAAGAGAATAAAAGAAACATATTTTAGAAAGCCAGTCCCAAAATTATGAAAATGTCTTAGGTAGATTCAAAACACGATAGGTATAAGATTAAGCAAAGGTAGGTAGTGAGAAAAAACAGTAAAATTACTTCTGTCATGAATGAGAAACACAGGAAGAGGTGTGTCAGGTATAAAAAAAAGCCTCAGCCGCTTGAAAGACTCCACTACCCACTGCATAAAAGCCATCACTTTTTCTCAACAGACAAAGATAAGCCCAATGGTAATGTAGTTGTTAAACTACCATGTTATCTCACACCAGATAAAGAGGAAGTTACTAACACTTATGAAACAATAATGTGGAAATAAAAAGCTACAAAATCTGCATATGTAGAAAATGTTGGAAAGTGAAAATCCAACAACAATAAATACTTCAACACTAGGTAATGTCTTTATAGATTCTTTCACTAAAAAAAAAATGCCTATATCAGAAAAGTTCCCAAGCAATAAAAAAGACACATCATTACACAAGTGCCAAATTGACAAGTGATGATTAAACAATCAGTATAGAGGGAGTCAGCTGCACTAAGAATGTGTGTTGCACCTTATTGATGGAGGGTTGTTGCATGTTTATTTGCATGCTACAACACAACAATACCATATAGAAACATGCAAGTTTAGATGGTGCCTCAAGGCTAGTGGTGAGAGAAAAGTTAGAGCATGTGCTGACTCTATATGCAAAAAATACTTTGCATGCCACAAGCTTTGAGCTCCCACATACCTTATGATCAACATGGTTCAACTGCATCTCGCATGTAAATTATTATGTGACAAGCCTTCACCAATAGGAGTGTGACAAACACTCCTGACACACTTGACTCCCTCTATTTGATTCTACCAAACTATCACTTTGAGATTTGGCAGAAAATGGAAGCACCAGTTCTGTGGGAAGGGTTGGAAGTGTGAGAGGAAGTAAGTACTTATCGGTAATATATTTTCAGTATAGGAAAATTATAACCTCAAAAACACACTAAAAGGGGAGATCCTTGCAGTAGAGGATAATATGCGAGAGACTGCACCACTTCTGTACCAGGTACATTCCTTGCCCAGCGTGGAAAGAGGTTATGCAGACATGGGAGGAAAATGGGAGGAGCACATCCAAAAGGGAGAAAACAATGGTTGAATAAGGATCCAAACCACCCAATATCTCAATCTCAATCCCTTAGACACTAGTAATGCGGTTAACAGTAAAAAGGGTGTGCCCCAAGGTGTAGAGTGGCTAGGGCACAACAGACCATACACAGAAAGTCAACTGCATCCAAAACCCAGCCACTGAGAACTGACATCCATTTTAGAGGTTTATTTTTGCAGTTTATGCTTAAGCACCAAAGATTCATTTTAGAAATGAATAAAACCCTATAATCCAAGTGCTTTTGAAAGGTGAACCTTTCTTCTTCAGGGACAAACTCGGAATGATGGCATAATCGAATGGGTGATTATATATATATATATATATATTTATAAAAAGGGAGTTTAGTGACATCATGAAGGTCATCTGATTTTCCTGGAAATGTTTAGTCTATTTCTCTATGTACTGTTGTAAGCATCTCATTTCCAGTATGGTGTAGCTGATAGCGAGAGTGTATGTGAAAAGGTGTTAGGGATAGATACATGTATATTTGAAATTATACTTAAGTGTTTAAGTGAAATAAAGGTGACACCTGGAGACTGATTGAAAATGATATGTTATGTTAATCAATTTATAAAAACAGATATGGAAAATTATTTTACATAAATAGTAAGTTTTAAGAAATTCACATCACATGAAAAAAAATAAGCAAAGAGTAAAAAATATTTTTCTGACAGAGATGAAAACAATGAACGGAGATCACTGATTCCAGGATCTAGATTAATTCTGAAAGGTTGAACAGTGTTTAGATAAGCAAACCAATAAGCTTCTTTTATTTCTCTATCTGCCTTAGTTTTGAATCCTGTTTCAGTGCCGATAAGAGTAACATTGTTAATGAAATGACTGGGTTGGTTAAAGTGTTGAGCAACAGGGAGATCTTTTTTGGTGTTAATAGATAATTTATTGTTGTTGAAATGTTCTCTAAGAGTTGTTTGTGCATGTCCTACATATTGGTAATTGCAGTTTTACACCTTATAAGGTAAAATGGTGTTTTTTGTTTCACAAGTGACTTCTTTGGATATTT